TTGCAGTAAATGTTATACTCTAGCATTTGCTGTAGCAGTCGAACGGCCGTATTGTGGGAGAATTAGTCCACACTTGTCGAGCTCGGGCACGGTAGTAGTAGTAGTAGTAGTAGTAGTAGTAGTAGTAGTAGTAGTAGTAGTAGTAGTAGTAGTAGTAGTAGTAGTAGTAGTAGTAGTAGTAGTAGGTAGTAGTAGTAGTAGTAGTAGTAGTAGTAGTAGTGGTAGTAGTAGTAGTCGTAGTAGTCGTAGTAGTAGTAGTAGTAGTAGTAGTAGTAGTAGTAGTAGGAGTAGTAGTAGTAGTAGTAGTAGTAGTAGCATCCTCGGTTTCTAGGTGGTGTTGTAGGTTACGGTTGTACTATTGTGTAATACAGCTGTACTGTTGTAGTAGTGGCGCTGTAAAATCACTATTCTAATACAGTATTCGTAAGAGTAGTACCGTCCGATTATCGGCACAGGGTGCGCTACAGTAGAGTAGTAGGAATCCACCAATGCCGCCGTATCGCAGAACTGTTGTAGTTTTCTAAGGTTGTAGTGCTGTAGCGGTGGCACAGTGCTAGCTGTAGAACAGTACTCTAGTAGTAGCACTGCGCTAGTGGTACGCTAATGATATACTGGCGGTACTTTGATACCGTGCTAAACCAGTAGCAGTCTTGCATTTATGAAGTGCCAGTGCTGTAGTACCCATGTAGTTGTGGTAGTAGTAGTAAGGCTGCTGGTAGTTGTAATATTAATATTCGTAGCAGCGGTAGTAGTAGTAGTAGTAGTAGTAGTAGTAGTAGTAGTAGTAGTAGTAGTAGTAGTAGTAGTACAACTACTACTCAGGCCTTGCAGTAAAGCTCGTGTTCTAGTGCTTGCTTTAGTAGCCGCACTGTCGTACTGTAGCCGAAGTGGTCCACGATTGTAGTGCCCGAGCACAGTCGTAGTATCCTCGAACTCGAACGTTTTAGCGGTAGTGTTGTAGGACTGGCGCTGCACTATCGGGGAGTAGTGCTGTACTGTTGTTGCAGTGGCACTGTAGAAGCAGCACGCCAGTGCAATAATAGTGTGAGCAGTACTCTACTATTGCCCGCGGTGGGTGTACGATTGGTATGGAATAGAAATGCTCTGCAGTATCGCAGCATCGTTGTTGTGTTATAAGAATGCAGTGCTGTAGTGATGATGCTGTAGTAGTCGTAGCGCACTATTGTAGCAGTAGTACTGCAGTCGTGATTAAAATAGTACTGTTTTGGCGGTACTTCGATAACGTACTCAAACAGTTGTCGTATTGCATTAATGAAGTGCCACCATGGTGATAGCCCTGTAGTTGCAGTGGCCGTACCCAGATATCACACTAAACATTACAGTCGGGTACTTGCTGTAGTAGCCGCGCTGTCGTATTAGAAGTGGTTCACTACTGTAGTACTCGAGCACAGCAGTAGTATTCTCGAACTGTATTGGTTTAGTGGTGGCGATGCAAGACCAGTGCGGTACTATTTTGATATCGTGCTGTACTTAAGCAGTGGTACTGTAGAGCAGGATTCTAGTGCAGCATTCGTATGCGCAGTGCTGCGCGATTGTCAGCAGTACTGTGATAGGAAGTAACACATGCCGTATTATTGCAGCACGGTTATTCAAATACTGTAGTGTTGTAGTGGTACACTAAGGATCGTAGTGCAGCACGGGGGCAGTAGCACTGCAGTACTAGTACTGAGGCACTGTACTAGTAGTGCGCTGCTACTGGCAGTAGGGGCAACGGAGCTCTAACATTGGAGTACTCAAGCAGGGTAACCGTACCATAGTACTGTAGTGCCGTAGCAGTACTGTATGGGCAGCACCCCATTGAAGTCGAATTAATACTTTGGTACAGTAGTAGTGGTAACGCTAGAGTGGTGGCTGGAGGAACAGTGCAGTACTGCAGTACTTCAATAGTATAGCAGCATGCTCGTACTGTCGTAATGTGGTAGTCGTAATACTGTTGCGGGGAGTAGTAGTACTAGAGCTTTTTAGTTGTAGTACTGTTGTACTGAAGCTGTGGCTGAGGCTAGGCTTAGGCCGGGGCTGAGGCCGAGGCTGAGGCCGAGGCTGAGCCTTGTGTTAGGCTGAGGTTGAGGCTGAGGCTTAGACTGAGGCTTAGAGTAGGCTGAGACTTAGGATGGGCTTCGGCTAGGCTGCTCAGGCTGATGCTTGGGCTAGGCGGAGGTTGGCGCTTAGGTTTAGGCCGAGGTTCAGGCCAGGCTTAGGCGATGCTTGGGCTGAAGGTTCGGCTAGGCAGAGGTTGAGGCTTACGCCTAGGCCAGGCGTGGGCTAGGCTGAGGCAGAGGCAGAGCCTGCGACTAGGCTGGGCAGAGGCAGAGGCTGAGGCCAGGCTGAGGCTGAGGCTGAGGCTGAGGCTGAGGTTGAGGCTTCGGCTAGGCTTCGGTTACATTTTGGCTGGGGTTTAAGCTAGGCCAGGCCGAGGCTTCGGCTTGGCTTTGGCTGAGGTCGGCGCAGAGAGAGAGAGAGAGAGAGAGAGAAGGGAGAGGGGAAGCAGCGCCGAGGAAAAGCACAGCAGGTATACCGCGACGGTACCAGCAGCACGGTGACAACGCGCTCCGCCCCCCCCCCCACACACAACAAAATCCTTTAAAACGCATTGGGGGGACTCGGCCCCCAAACCGGAGGAGAGATGAGGATGATGATGAGGATGAGGATGACGATGAAGATGAGGATGTCGACGATGATGATGATGATGATGATGATGATGATGATGATGATGATGATGATGATGTTGATGTTGATGATGATGATGATGATGATGATGATGATGATGATGATGATGACGATGACGATGATGATGATGCTCATGATGATGCGGATGCTGCTGATGAAGATGCTGATGGTAGTGATGATGATGGTGATGATGATGATGATGATGATGATGGTGATGATGACGATGATGATGCCTATGATGCTGATGATGCTGATGATGATGCTGATGCTGATGATGACGAGGATGATGCTGATGATGCTGATGATGCTGATGCTGATGATGCTGATGATGATAATGAGTATGCTGATGCAGATCATGATGCTGCTAATGATGCTGACGAGGCTGCTCCTGATGATGATCATGATGCTGATGATGAGGGGACTGATGAGGAGGACAATGAGGAAATCGATGAGGATGATGACGAGGATGAGGATTATTATGCGGATGAGGATGATGATGACGACGAATATGATGATGAGTATGATGATGCTGCTGATGATGAGGATGATCAGGATGATGATGATGCTGATGACGATGTTGACGCTTCTGATGGTTTTTAATGATTATGACTCTGATGATAACGATGATGATGCTGATGATGATGGTGATGATGATGATTGGATGATGTTGATGATGGTGATGCCGATGCGGATGCTGATGATAGGATGACATTGATGATGCTGGTCATGATGATGATGATGATGATGATGATGATGATGATGATGATGATGATGATGAGGGGAAGAGTGCGGAGGAAGACGATGAGGATTAGGATGAGGATGATGACGAGGATGAGGATGATGATGATGCAGCTGCGGATGATGAAGGTGAAGATGGTGATGATGCTGCTGATGATGCTGCTGGTCATGATGATGATACTGATAATGATGATGCTGCTGCTGCTGATGATGATGATGATGATCGTGATGAAGATGATGCTGCTGATGATGCTGATGATGATGCGGATGACGATGATGATAAGGACGCTGATGATTGGATGATGTTGATGATGGTGATGCTGATGCGGACGCTAATGATGACGATGATGATGGTACTGATGATGATGCTGATGAGGCTGATAATGAAGCTGATGATTATGATTCTTACTATTATGATGATGATGATGATGATGATGATGATGATGAAGCAGCTGATGATACTTATTCTTATTATTAGGATGATGCTGCTGATGATGGTGATGATGACCATGACGATGATGATCATGATGCTGATAGTGAGGATGATGATGATGATGATGATGATGATGGTGGTGGTTGTGGTGGTGATCATGCTTATGCTAACGATGCTGGTGTTGATGGTGATCATGGTGATGGTGATGGTGAAGCTGATGACGATGCTGATGGTGAAGATGATGATGATGCTAATGCTGATGCTGATGGTGGTGACGATAATGATGTTGCTGCTGCTGATCATGATGGTGATGCTGCTGCTGATGATGATGAATCTGATGATCAAGATGCTGATTATCATGATGATGCTGAAACTGCCCATGATGATGCAGCTGATGATGATGCTGATGCTAATCATGATAATGATGATGAGGAGGAGGATGCTGCTGATGATGAGACTGCGGATGCTGATGTTGATGATGAGGAGGAGGATGCCGGTAATACTGCTGCCGATGCTGCTGCTGATTATGATGATGCTGATGCTGATGCTGATGCTGATGCTGATGCTGCTGATGCTGATGCTGATGCTGATGCTGATGATGATGCTGATGATGATGATGATGATGATGATGATGATGATGATGATGATGATGATGATGATGGGAGCTCCACCGAAGGCCCCAGTGGCAGCGTCCGCGTGACGCCCCCGCTCCACTTTGGCACACCTCTCACACGCTTCGAGGCCCCATAGGCAGCTCCACCGAAGGCCACACGTAGTTTGATCGCTTCTCTTCTTCGTATCTCCTGCCTTGCGGTATTCACGGCTGCACATGCTTGTGAAATTCGTAAGGTTCAAGGCGGGCTCTCTGGAACGCTCGGAGGGTCTTTCGTCGTCACGGTTACGCGAGGCTCGACACGCTGGTCAGGGTAGTGTCCAGGAAGCGTCGGGGGACCGCGTTTGAGCGGATTCTGGCCGGAAAGGACAGGAGAGGAGCGAAAACGACGCCGGCGGCCGCCCCGCGCAGGCCGACCGCGATGTGAAGCTCGCCCGCCCTGACGACGACGGCGACGGTCACGACGAAAGCGTCGCGTGAACCGACGGCGGCGACGGTGGCGTTGACGACGGCCCCTGCTCGACGCAGGCCGACCGCGTCAACATGCAGCTGGCCCACCTCGATCACCTGCTGCACCAGAGCCAGGCGAAGCAGCAGGCCCCGCCCCGCGGGGCGCGGCATCCTGTGCGCCCTCGGGAGGCGGACCGCTCTGTGGAGGTTCCGTTTTGAGGCCCGACGCGCGTTTGGTATTTTCGTCCGCCAAAGTCGCATTCCCAGCTACCGCTTTTCCTCCCGACGATCTCAGGTTTTGGGCTCCCGGGCTTCTGTTTTCGCACCCGTGTGGCCCCAGGGCAGAGGTGTATTCTGGTTTCGAGGGCTCCGCCCGTTGGGGCATCTCTGGTGCCGGCGTGGTTGTCCTCTTGGCGCGCGGGGGCGCGGGAGCAAGTGCACCTGTGTGCCATGTTATCTTTAACTCGGTCTTACGTACTGCCCTCTTCTTCCTCCATCTCCGTACTCCTTCCTCCTGCCCTGCCTGCCTGCTCATCTCGCTGCGTTTCCCGCTGCCGGTCTACTGCCAGGCCTTCCTCTCCACTTCCTCCAGCGGGGCGCCATAGTCATCATTGCTGTCCTCTTGCGTTTCTTGCTCGTCCTCCTGTCTCTCGATTGCCGCGCGTGCCCGAGCGCGCTTGCGGCGCGGTTCTCGCTGTCAGATCATGTTTAGGCCGCATCCAGGCCACGCTTAGATTATGTTTAAGCCGCTTGTAGTTCGACCACACTTCGACCCTATTAAACCTTTTGGGGAGTTGTTAGGGCACTTTCAGACCACCCTTATACCGTTTTTAGAGCGCATGTAGACCACATTTCGACCGCCGTGCATTCACGTGCGCGCGGTCTTTTGCTTGCGTGCCCGGGGGGGGGCGAGCGGGAGTGCGGGAAACGCGACCGCGAACGCAATCCTGGCGGCGAGATGATATTCCAATGTAATAAGTATCATTATCATGCCAGACCGATTCTCATGTCAGGTCGAAGATAAGAATTTGGCGACATGGTTTATGATTTGGCATGGCCAGGATACGGCGGAGATTGCCCCCAGCAGTTTAGATCACTTTTAGACAATTTTCAGACCACTGTTAGACCCTTCTGAGACCACTTTTAGATGATGTTATACCACTTTTAGACCACTGTCAGAACATGTTTAGATCTCTTTTAGACTACTTTTAAACCACATGTGGTGCGATCTATCTTCTCCGAGCCTTGAATTGTTGTGCGATGTATTGTCTCCGTGCTGATGTCGAGGAATCCCGTGCAGGTTCCGATCCTTCATCGCCTGTGCGCGTATAGCGCCGCCCCTAGGCAATCATTCCCGCGGGTTGCCCTCTGACTGGCCCCTTCCCTTCGCGTGGGGAGGGCGCGCGGAGAGGAAGAGTGACGGCGGGAAGGCGGGACCATTGCGCGCCGCAAGTCGCGGCAATCTGAATGGTCGCAGCCGCAGGCGTGCATTGCAAGCAACAACCGGCAATGGCCCCAGTGCGGCGCACTTGAAGGGGTGAGGGTGGAAGTGCGACGAAGATGTGGCAATTTCGAGGTCGCGTCTCCTGCGGCTGGCGACACTTTTCCTCGCCTGAGGGGGCGCCGGGTCTAGACCAGGCGCCGCGGCAGCCTCGTCGGAAACACCAAATCAACGACTACAATTTCTGGCCCCTCCAGAGGAGGCCCGCTCTCTCGGAGGCCCAGCGGTGACCCGTTGGCTAGCAGCTCATGGGAGCCTGGCGCGTCCGCGAAATACCGCCTTTACAGAGCACTGGCGTGCGCTAGCCTCCTGCGCAGTTTGACGACTGGCCGACGCACGCCGACCACCTGAAAAACCTGCAGTTCGCCCGCCCCGACGACGGCGGCGGCGGGGGCGGCGGCAACGGCGGCGACGGCGACGGCGACGACGATCCAAACGCCAGCTGGGAGGAGGAGGAGGAGGAGGAGGACGAGGAGGAGGAGGAGGAGGAAGAGGAGGAGGAGGAGGAGGAGGAGGAGGAGGAGGAGGAGAAGGCGGAGGAGGAGGAAGAGAGAACGTAACACGCGTAAGCGTAAGGTCTGGCCAACTCAAGGAGGAGGAGGAGGCGGAGGAGGAGGAGGAGGAGGAGGAGGAGAGGAGAGGAGGAGGAGGAGCGGGCTCGCGCGGGGGGGGTGGGGGGGGGTGGCCGCGCGCCGCGGGAGAGGCCCTCGACATGGTCACGGAGCAGCTGCAGCTGCTGGAGGCCCAGGCCGGGAGCGCCTGCCTCGTCTCGGGGTGTCCTCCTTTGGGGGCCTCCCCCTCCTCCTCCTCGTCCTCCTCCTCCTCCTCCTCCTCCCCCTCCCCCTCCTCCTCCTCCTCCTTCTCCTCCTACTCCTCGTCGTCGTCCTCCTCCTCCTCCTCCTCCTCCCCAGTCTGATTGGGAGTGGGCCATCAGTATCGTTCCACCGATCCCCATCCCCACCGGGCCATGGTATCTCAGCACCACCATCCATACACCCCAGTTGGGGAATGGGCCCCTCGAAACCCGAAGGGAGCGGCCTAGATCCCCATCTGGAGATGGGGCCCAGGCCACGCCAACGGGGATAGGGATTGGTGAACTGATGCTCAGACCAGGTTGTAGGCCTCCCAGATGGTGTCGGAGTGGATGGGGTCGGAGGATCGCTCCGCATCGCCCATGCATCGCCGATGCGGCTAGATGTGGGGCCGACTTTCTCCACGTTGACGGCGCCGATGCGTCTCCGACGTCGGCGATGCCTCGCTGCATCGGTGATGCAGTATCAATGCGTCGCGATCCTCCGACCCCATGTGCTCGAACCCCATTCGGCAGGACTTTACAGATAGAGAAGGGAGACATGTTTCTTGTCCACCTCCGTAATGCCTGCCCACTGCTTGTTGCGTGACGCGGCTCTGAAGACCTTCGTGCGCAGAGCGGATTTCGTTCGGAAAACGATAGGATGGGCCTGGGGTGTCCTGGAGACATTCGTTTCGGATTTCGAGGTGAATTCCGAGCGGATTTTTTTTGGCCAGGATGAAGACTAAATCAAATCCACACGAAATTCACTTCGTTTTTCACTCGCCGTTTTGGGTTTTGTATCGACAGAAACCCACGCGAAAATCCGCTGCAGCACGTCTGCAAGGTCGATGCAGAAGTGGCAACGCCGTAGGGGTCTTCGTCTTCGTTCGAGGCCGAGCCTCGGGAGGCTCGCTTTTTGGGGATCTCCCCGGGGCCCACCTAACTCGCCATGAAGGAATCGGGTCCCGAGGGGAAGCTCGGGGAGCGAATAATGACATAAACAGAAAACTCGGAGGTCCGCGCGGACCCGGATCCGAGAAATCCGCGCGGATCTCCGAGTTTTTATGTTTATGTCATTCTTCGTTCTCCTAGAAACGGGCCCTGAGGTCGTTGAACCTTTTTTCGACGTTTTTCGGGCTCTCGGGGCCCTCTCCGGGCCCGAGGCTGTCCAAGAACGGCCAAGGTCGAAAGACGTGCCCCTGGAGGAGGCCCTGGGGTACAGGACCCGTTTCCCTGAGGACCCGTTTTGCTTCATACCAATTCCCTGGGGCCCCCTCGTCTGACTGAAGTTTGTGTTGGTTCTTGCAGGTTTCCTCGCCTCGGAGTGCTTCCTGCAGCTGCGCCTCGTCGAGAGCGTTCCAGGGCTGCCCAGATCGTCCATATCGGCTGCCAGAGACCGAGTTATGACCCGAAAACCAGGCGGCGAGGATAATTCTGCCGGACTGGCTCAGGGGGGGAGGTCCAGACCCAGATTTTAGATGCTTTTCGGGGGGCTTTCTGGGGCCCACCTAGCGGACACGTTCGCCTCTGGCTTAGCTCCAGTCCGACTCGAGTTGAATGCGAGTTCGACTCAAGTCGGCGGACGTTCGACGCAGCATCGACGCGTGAGTGGAGCGAGTGGCTTCGCGAAGTTCCCCAGAACGTGCATCCATCTCCTCTTCCTCCGCCAACCTCGGCGACTTAGATCCGTCACGTGATGCGAATCGGAGGAAGAGTAGGAGGAGAAGGATATAAAGAGGAGGAAGGGGAGGGGATTCGGTGTGGAGGGGGAACTTCGCATCGCGTGACGAAATCCCTTTGCCTACAATCCAAGACCCCGAGATCCGAGCATCACATTTTTTTTCATGCTGGGCGTTTCTGTATTGTCTCGTCGGGGAGCGCAGTGATGGGGGTCAGCGCTGACGGGGCTCAGGCAATGAGAGGAGCGCAGAGCCGGTTCCTTCTTCGCAGGCCTAGAGGTTGACACCAACGCAAATATCGGCGGTGTGCCTCCACCGAGGGAACAGATCCCGATCTCGGTGATGGTGGTAATCTTCTGGCTTCACGGTGACCCAAATATTGCCACCACCGAACTCTAGGATAACTTTCCCCCTGTGGAGGCAACCTCCCGTGTTGGTGCTGGTGCCCCTTTCCAGGCCTCCGACTCCTCCCCTCCCTCCGCGGACTCGGTTTCTGGGAGCCGCTGTGCGGCCGCCCGCGGTGCGCGATGCGGCGCTGCCTGGCCCGGATTCGCGTGTCCCTCCTTCCGGTCCGGGGCTGCGGTCGCGATCTCGCCGCCATCGGACCCCAGGGGGCCTCCAGCGGCTGCTAGGGGGCCACATGCGAACCCTACCCCTGCCCCCCACGATTTCTGAGGGGGAGGGTGGGGTTCACGTGGCTCGGGAGCCCCCGAACGAAGTGAACCCCCTCCCCTCCTCAGAAATCGTGGGGGGGGTAGGGGTAGGGTTCGCATGCGGCCCCCTGGCTGAGCATCGAGGTCCGAAGATCGAGGACCGCGGGCTGCCTCCCGCCCAGGGGGTGGACCGGGGCGCCCGCGCGGACCGCCGGCGAGCGCGCCGGGTGCGGCCGGGCGGGAGCGCTCGGGAGCCCCGACCGAGAGGCCTCGGGCCCCCCCCCGCTGGCCGGCGCAGCACACGAGCCAGGAGGCGCCTCGGCGGGTCAGGACGGCGAGGCCCGTGGTGCGAGGGCCGAGGTGTCGGATCGCTCGGCGGCCTCGGGGGGGGATCCTGGGAGGCCTCCTCGGGTCGGGCCGAGGGCTGGTGCACCGGGCGGGTCTCGGCCCCGCCGCCGAGCAGTCTCCTCGACGAGTGGCCGCCTCCGGCGCTGGGAGGCGCCAGGGGCGACGTGGCACATGCAGGCGACTCGCTGGCTCCCCCCCGTTGCTGTACCCGCCCTCGTCCGCCCCGATTCTCGTGGCCACGGCGGGATCCGCCTTGGGATTCTTGCCAGAGCGTCCCCCAGGACATGCCCGGGGACCGATCTTTGACCTCCCCCCCCCACTACAGACATCCAGCGACTTCAAGATCGTGCTGAGGTTTTTGGTCGCCGTTTTCGATCTTGGGGGACGTCAGGGGCAACGTCAGGGGTGGATAGGCTCGTGGGGCCCTCCCTCGCCTCCTCCTCCTCCTCCTCCCGCTTCTGCCTCCTCCCTCCTCCCTCCTTCCTCCTCCCTCTCTCCTTTCCCTCCAGCATTGGTCCGTAGCCACTTTGGCTCAAGAGTCATTAGGTTGCAAGCGGCAGCGCCCCCCTTGTCCACCATGTCTTCGCCCAGTGGTGCTGGGCGTATGCCAATTTCGAAGGAGTCTTGCCGCCACCGCGCGCGCGGTCCGCTATCGGGAGGTGCCAAGGCATTGCCTGAGGCAAGGCCGCTGCTGTCTTGTCTCTCTTGGGTCGCCTCTGGGGTGCATGTTGCAGCCGCCGAGTGATGTGTTTGAGTTCATCAGGAGCGTGAATGCCAACACATCTGGAGGTTCCAAGGCTGTCCACTTCACGCCCAGCGCACTCAATCAGCTTGGGAGAGAGGCCGATTTTGAGTTCCAGGCGCTCCGCGGCCTTCGCACCTGCTGCACGCTCACTCGTACTGTTTCGGACTTTCGGGCCGAGCTGCTTGGTCCGAGCCGACCTCGGGTCCGATGCCGACCGGCCCCGCGTCGTCTCGGGGGCCCCCAAACGATATGGTGACCACACCGCGTGATGAGTCAGGGGAGGTTCGGGGTCACCACGCTGTTTTTGGACGCGGGGGTCGCTCTCCGAGCACGTCTGGGGCGACCAGGGCCTCCGCGGTCCAGAGGCCGTGCAGCGGCGGGCCGTGCGGTGAGGTCTCGTGGGATGTTGAGGCCTCCGCGCGGTCCGTCACCACATGGTTTTGAGACCCTCGCGTCGTCGCCAGGGAGGTGGCCGTGGCCCGCTGGGGAGGACGGAGTAATGGGTCTTCTGCCATGCATGGCTTCGGGATCACCTTCATCAGCCATGATTCAGTCAGTCTTCTCGCTAGGGAAGTGGCCGTGGCCCGCTGGGGAGGAGGGAAGAATGGGTCTTCTGCCATCCTGCGTGGCCCGCTCGGTCAGGTGCCCGAGGCGCTGCTGTCTTGTGACGGCTACAAGGGAGCACTGCTTACGCATAACCTTTGGCGTCAACACGACCGGCTTCTAGAGCTGGCTCCCACGTAGGGCGAATGATCTCCAAGTCGGCCTTGGAGGAGTCTCCCAGAAAGTGCCCGACCCGCCCCCCTGGGCCATCTTGGAGTCGTCGTTTTCTGAATGTTCTTTGTTCCCAACCATCCTGTGGTGTTGGGTCTTCATTTTGAAGAGACGGTCCCCGCCTTCACTCCTCCCGCTGCCCCCTCCCTCCTCCTCCTAGTCCTCCTCCTCCTCCTCCTCCTCCTCCTCCTTCTCCTCTCATCATCATCAGCATCATCAGCATCAGCAGCATCATCATCATCATCAGCATCATCATCAACATCATCATCATCATCAGTATCAGCATCAGCATCAGCATCAGCATCATCATCATCAGCATCAGCATCAGCATCAGCATCAGCATCATCATCATCATCATCATCATCATCATCATCATCATCATCATCATCATTACAAACAACATCATCAGCATCATCATCATCAGCATCAGCATCAACATCAGCATCATCATCATCACCATCATCATCATCATCATCATCATCATCATCATTCTCATCATTATCACCATCACCATCACCATCACCATCACCATCACCATCACCATCATCATGATGATGATGATCATCATCATCATCATCATCACCAGCATCATCATCATCATCATCATCATCATCATCATCAGCATCATCATCATCACCATTATCATCGCCATCACCCGTTTCAGCAGCACACCCCTCACGCGTTTCGCGGCCCCATAGGGAGCTTCACCGACGGTCCCAGCGCTACCGCCCGCATGCGTTCCCCCGTCCATTACAGCGTTTTGTGGCCCCATAGGGAGCTCCACCGACGGTCCCAGCGCTACCGCCCGCATGCGTCCCCCCACCCAGTGCAGCATTTCGTGGCCCCGTAGGGAGCTCCACCGACGGCCCCAGCGCTACCGCCCGCATGCGTCCCCCCCACCCAGTACAGCGTTTTGTGGCCCGATAGGGAGCTCCACCCAAGGTTCAAGTGCTACCGCACGCATGCGTCCCCCCCACGCAGTGCAGCGTTTCGTGGCCCCATAGGGAGCTCCACCGACGGCCCCAGTGCTACCGCCCGCATGCGTCCCCCCACGCAGTGCAGCGTTTCGTGGCCCCGTAGGGAGCTCCACCGACGGCCTCAGTGCTACCGCCCGCATGCGTCCCCCCTTCCCAGTACGGCGTTTAGTGGCCCCATAGGGAGCTCCACCGACGGCCTCAGTGCTACCGCCCGGATGCGTCCCTCCCACTTAGTACAGCGTTTCGTGGCCCCATAGGGAGTTCCACCGACGGTCCCAGCGCCACCGCCCGCATGCGTCCCCCCACCCGGTGCAGCATTTCGTGGCCCCGTAGGGAGCTCCACCGACGGCCCCAGCGCTGCCGCCCGCATGCGTCCCTCCCACCCAGTACAGCGTTGCGCGGCCCCGTACGGAGCTCCACCCACGGCCCCAGTGCTACCGCCCGCATGCGTCCCCCCCCACGCCGTGCAGCGTTTCTTGGCCCCACAGGGAGCTCCACCGAAGAAGCTATTCACAATTGCGGTACTCACAGCTGCATATGGTTCGGTTCTTCGCCAGGATAATTTTCGTCGTTTTCGTCGTCGTCCGTCGTCCGCCGCCGTCGACGCCGCCGCCGCCGCCGCAGGTCTGCGCCATGCTGGATCAGTCGGCGAACTCGGCGGCCCCGGCCTACCTGAGGCAGCCGGCGAAGGCGTCGTCCGCGGCGGCGCAGGCGCTGGCTGCCGCGGGCTGCCCAGATCGTTGGATACCATATGCTCTTGGTCGCGATCGGTGTCCACCGATCGGCATTCTAAATCGGTCGCGACCGATCGAGACCGATTCCCAAATCAGTCGCGACCGATTTTCAGGCAAATAGGTCGCGACGGATACTGGAATTTGAAGCAAGATCGGTAGCGACCGATCCAGTCGGTTGCGACCAGAAAATTCTGGCATCCAGTGATCAGGGTGGGAGGGGGAGGGGGGGAGACCTCGAGATCCCAGCGTCTCAATTGTTTCGAGCCAGGCGTTTTCGCCCAGTTCGGGCTTCGGGACCCTCACATCTTGATCCAGCTAGAAAGATGGAAGGATGGGGCGCAGGGCTTTGGAAATTATTTTCACGATGCTGCTTGTTATCGCTACGTCGGATCTCAGGGAACGTCCGGGGGGCACCGTCAGGGGGGGCAACGTGAGGGGGGGATAGGCTCAGGGGGGGATCGCTCACTGATCGCTGGTAGGGGTCCGATAGCCGACCCCGCACACCGCCGTGCTGACTCGGCATCAGGGCCTATCGTCGATCTATCGGCGATGTATCGACGATTCAAGGACGATGTTCCCCCCCTGCGCTAGTTCCCTTTTTAGTATCGTTGTCACTCATGCCAGAGGCCTAGAGTCGGCCGTATCGAACGATGAGCGATGTGAGCTGCCCCCCCCTATTGCCACGCCTCAACGGAGGGCACCTCCCTTCCTCCCTCCCTCCCTCCCTCCCTCCCCCTCCTCGGAGGAAGGCTAATCGGGGAGGAACTACAAAGGGTGGTGGCAGAAGGCTGGAGGGTTGAGGGATTTCAAGGAGAGTTGTTCACGGGGCAAGCCAGCACAAGCTGGAGCAGTGCGTACCACCGCTGTATGGGCTCAATGCACGCGCCCCCAATCTGTCTGCAGACCTTGACTTACTTTGCTCTATGAACCAGGTGCTTGAGAGATGAAAAGCTCCTTAGTATCCTCCCACTATCGTCTCCAGCGCCACTATCACCGTGGAAAGGACTATACAACAGCCTGACAAGTGTTTCCGAATGAAGAGGAGTATTATCGAGGAGGAGTTAGTGGAGGAGGAAGATTGAGGAGGATTGAGGAGGAGGAGGAGGAGGAGGAGGAGGAGGAGGAGGAGGAGGAGGAGGAGGAGGAGGAGGAGCCGTAAGCCCCCGTCGCCCCCTCCCCTCCGTCTCCAAGACCTCCGGATAGAAGTTTCGCGTGCCCTTCGGCCCGACGGCCGGAGGGTGAAATTCGCGTTTGGGCTTTCCACCTTGCACTGCTGTTCGCTTCGGCTACCTCCATGGGGCATTGGCCCTTTGGCGAATGGGCTCCTGCTTCTGATCCACGTTCTCGTGGCAACGTGTCGCCTGTGGTCCAGTCTCGTCGTTTTTGCATCATGGGCGATGTTTTGGATGTTCCCCGATGTTTTGGTCTGTCCTCTGGGGTCAGCGCCCCCTCCCTCCTTGCCCCTTGCCCCTTGCCCCTCTCCACGACGATGGCCGCAACCGCTGGATGGGTGCTCTGGCCGCGACTGATGGTGCAGGTCAGTGCCAGCCCAAGTTTTGATGGACTCTTTCTCCCCAAGATCCGATGCTCCGCACAAATTGGAGCGGCGGGGTTTAGGATGTTTTCGGTCTCCAGGGGCCCTCGCCAGGCCTCGGGACTGTCAAACAACGATTCAGGACGAAAGCCGGGCCTCAGGAAAGTGGCCCAGACCTCCGGGGCCCACGCACCGAAAAAATTGGAGCGGCCGGATGTCTGGGCCGATGTACCCGGGTGGCGCTTTCGTCGATGCTCCTCAGGACGTGTGTTAGCCCAATGTGTGTTTACCCCCTTCAGCCCAACCAGTAGATCATTACCAGGGCTCGAGCTAAACGGTGTTTTGGCAATTTCGTGCACCGTTTTCGTTTTGATTTCGTTTTGCAGCAAATGTGGAACGAAGACATAACTAGGGATGACGAAAACGAAACGAAAACGAAAAACACTCTATAACTCGAGCCCTGATCATTACATCGCCTGCGTCGTACCGAAGGTCCTCGATGGACAGACACGCGCTGGGGCTAGCACACGTTCTTAGGATCATCGGTTGCGAGCTCGTGCCTCCCTGTCTGAGCCTCCCAGCCAGGCGGAGGCCGACGGCAAGTTCAACGCGGAGGCCCCGGTCTTCGTGCCGCGCAACCCGGCCCCGCAGGAGACGCGCGAGGGCCGGGGGCCCCCTGAGCGGAGTGGCGACCACGCCGCGCGGCGAGGCAGCGGGGAGCCGGGACCACCGCACAGTGCTGGGCCTCGGGTCGTTCTCCCAGCACGTCTGTCGGTGTCGCTTCACCGATCCCTATCCCTGTCCCCATCCACATCGCAAGCCCCACCGTCTCACCACCTCAGTCGGGGATGTGCCTCTCGAAACCCGAAGAGAGCAGCCTATATCCCCATCAGGGGGGTAAATCGGCCAGTGGGGCCCAGCCCACGCTGATGCTCAGTCTGGGGCGACCAGGGCCTCCGAGGTCCCAAGGCAGTGCGGAGACGGACCGTGCGGCGAGGTCTCTCGGGATGTCGAGGTCCCCGCGCGGCCCGTCACCGCGTGGCTTTGGGAGCCCCGCGTCGTCGCCGGGGAGGCCGTGGGCCCACCCTGCGCGGTCCGCTCGGTGAGGTTCCCGAGCCGCTGCTGTCTTGTGACGACCTAGGGGAGGGAGCGCTGCTGATGCACAGCTCCCGACGTCAACACGGCCAGCCTCGTGCGCTGCTTTTTACGTAGGTCGAAGGTCCCGCAAGGCGGCCCAGGAGACTGCGTGAGAGACCAGGAGAGAATGCGGAGATCGAGAGCCCGTGGTGTTCAACCATCTTCTGGGCCATTCAAAATTTGATGCGCTCGGGGCCATCGAGGACCTGAGGCCTGAGGGCACTCCACTTCGTGCCAGAGGCACGGCTGTGGATGCTGCAAAGGGGACGCAAGATCGCGACAGACTTGGGCCAGGCTGCTTGGGCCATTGTTGTTGCGATGTGTTTCATTCGGAACGTTGTTGGCAAGGGGGGAAGGCGTTGTATGGGGGCGGCTCTGTCATGGGATCGGTGTGAGATCTGTGGTGCCGTCGGGGTGACTTCAAGGAGGCCTCAGGGTAGGGGTAGTGTGGTGTCAGGGGAGCTGGGCCAGACCTGCGGCGTGGTTTGCAGTAAGGGGGCACTGGCTCCTATGGGGGATGCTCACACCTCGCATCCCAGTGTTTTTTCGTCACGCAATCGATGATACGAGGTTGGGTATTTTAGTACTTGCTTTCTGTTCTCCCTTCTCGTCATCCTTCGCGTCCCCAATCCCTCCCCTTCTCCCTCGTCGTCTGCGTCTTCGCCTCACAGGGGAGGAGCGGACGATGGTGGTCCGGCAGGAGGATTGCTTACCGACTCCTTACTTTTCGATTTCGTCGGCCACGATGGGGCCTCACACATCTTACCCGGCGCTGGCAGTGCTTCCAGGATGGCCTCACAGTGGTGCTTCGTCGTGGTGCTGTCTGCTCGTTCTCCCCCCTCTGGAGACCTGGCTCGGCCTTGTGGTGGTCTCTGCTCGTGGCTCCTGCCTTGAGGGGCGAAGTCTGGAGCAGGCTGGAAGGCGGAGTCGACGGTGTCCACCTCGGACGTTCTGAGACCACTGGGCACATTGGTCCTCATCACCATCATCCTGATCTGCGTAAATGCGTGGAGGAGAAAAGGAGGTGAAGGAGCAGGAGGAGGAGGAGCAGGAGAAGGAGACGGGGAAGGAGCAGGAGGAGCAGGAGGAGGAGCAGGAGCAGGATGAGGAGGAGGGGGAGGATGTGAAGAAGGACGAGGAGCAGCAGGAGGAGGATGAGCAGGAGGAGGAGGAGGAGGAGGAGGAGGAGGAGGAGGAGAAAGAGCAGGAGGAGGAGGAGCAGGAGGCCTGAACAGCCTCGGCGATGGCTGGCGGGTACGTTCTCTCGAAACGTGTCCTGAGTTGGCCTGCCTCATGTTTCCCGAGGAGGGTCGGACATTTACCCCGAGGATGGTGGCATCGACCGTTCTTGTGGGTATCTCGGAAGTCCTCCGCAAGTCCTGATAACCTGAGTCCCAGGAGCATGGTTGGGGCCATTCCAATTGTAGTCGGGCTGGCGTCGTGGTGCACACACCGATCAACATCTGCTGTGATGGTTTACGGCATTGCTGCAAGAGCCTCGGGTGGTTCCTATGAGACATTCGTTGGGGCCTTCGGCTGCAATGTGGGGGGCTGCGGGTGGTCTAGCCAACCTGATGTGCCTGTCGCAAGATGACAAACTAGCAAGAGCACACTGCTCCAGAGTAGCTGGCTGCCAACATCAAGCTGTTGGGGTTGTCGCATCGTGGCCCATGGTACCCCCCAGTATCTGTCGTGCATACGCAGCGGTGGAGGATCCCCTTCATGCCAGCGAGCAGTGCTACACGTCCCGCGATGGGGTCCCCCATCCGTGTTCCAAACTCGCTTGGTCAGAATCTGTTCGGTCCAAACTTGGATTGCTTCTGGCTTAGCCAAATCACCGATCTGGGTATGAACACTTCTGCCAACACTGAACATGATGATGTGGTACAAGTTGGTGTGACACTCTTGTTCTATCCAAGTGTGGACGTCTCCTTCTCGGCGTTTGCCTGAGAAGATGTTGAGAACGAGCATCTCGGCTCTGTGAAGGTGCGTCGGCACTGGCATGCTGGCTGCGTCTGAAACGTTCTGGGTTCGGTACCTCTGATATATGTTTTCAAACTGTACTTGCTCCGCTGGGCTGGCTTCAGGCGGGGGCTCGAAGAGTTCCTGATATCTCTGCATGGCTTCTGGATTCAATTCGTAGGTTGATTCCCTCAGGATCGCTCTGGACTCGTCGTCCGTGAAATGAGGCAAAACAAACATAGAGGCTGGGTGAGCTGGGAGCGCAGCTCTCCATCTGCCTAGGCCTGTTCTAGGTTGCTTCGCATGCTCCTCTATGTCCTGCTGTTGCAAGTCCTCGGCGCGATCACTCGGCAGGCATGTGCCGTGCATGTGGTACGATAGCCTGCACCTAGGCGCGTCAAAGGCTAGATGATCTCGCCATAGCCTTCTTGTAGGAAGCATCGTCGAGCGTGCCATGCAACTCGTGCCCTCCCCGTGCTGTGCTGCCTGAGCCCTGTCTGTGTGTCCCTGCAACGTACTGACACCACATACAACACAACAGAGCTCTGGCGTCGGAGGCTGTTTGGGGTGGAGGAAGTGAACAGGATCAATGATAGGTACTGGGACACCTGCAGGTCACACGACCTGGAAACATCTTGTTCCGAGCATCCTTAGCCAGGGCAATCCTGCTTCTGGCTGCTTCTTCCGCTTAGAGCGTGGCGTGAATAGTACCCTTTCATTCTTAGGTGTTGATGCATGTATCCGTGATTCCCAGGCTGCAAAGGCGTCAGCTGGATCTAGCATGGTACGCAAGCTGCGGTGTACTTGCCATGCCCATCTGAGATCCTCTAGAACCTTGTTTAGCCAAGAGTCCTCAGTGTTGTGCGTATTGCGGTATACGTGTGTGATGAGGCCTCTTAGAGTAGGGGTCCCGTGGTGGATGAGCCTTCCAAGGAGCCTAAGACGGATGAGCCTTCTGTGTACCGTTACCAGCACCAGATCATCGGACGCCGCCTGAACATCGCACTACTTGATTTGGTAAATCTTTCTTTAAGTGTTGGCATTCACACGCTGGAAATGGACATGTTGGCCGTTCGTGAGGTTCGGGCACGTACCCGCATTAAAGAGCAAGCCCAAGTACTAGAGTGTGCTTGTAAAGTGGAGGCTGGCGGCACGAGGCATGCGCATGGCCGTGGCAAAGACGCGCCGGCGTAGTGGCTTCCTTGATTGCTGCACCTGGGCGAATAGATCCCAAGCCGTCGAGCGTGGTGGCCAGGTGTGGGCACTGTCGGACCGAGCGGACCGTGAACTCGCTTATGACGGGCGAAGAGACCTTGAAGAGCCCCTGGTTGGTGCCTCACAGGAACCTTTTGGCTTTCTTGCAGCCTTTGCCACGTCGTCGGAACAGCGCCTCTGTCTTGCTGGTAGGACGAGTTCAGGCGCACGCCTCGTCCAACAGAGCTGCTGGCAACTGCTTCGGCGACTTTCGGTGCGCCTTTAGCAAGAGCGATGCTGGGCCTGATGCAAGCGTGCTGTCGTCACAGAAGCAAGCGTTCACTCCTCTTACTGTGTCGGGCTCTTTCTACGTGAGCTGGGACAGCTGAGAATGCACACATATGGGAATGCTAATATCGAGCTCTAAGTCCTGGAGCGCCTGTTGAGCTTCTTTGACGCATTCTGACATCACGAAATTGACAATCACACCTCCCAACTGCTGCCCTGGTACTGCGCCCGCCAGTGTCTAGGCAACTGCTGAGGCCCTGGGAACCAGAACCATGCTCCGTGGTAGCTGTCTGTCGTGCGAGCCTGAAGGTGGTGAGAGATCCCTGCTTGCTGCCACAATGTGGTCCTTGAGGTCAGTGACGGCAGTGGGTGGGAGACCTGCGGTAGTTACAATCATTTGCAGGTCCCTGTCGCTGGTGCCGAGCGTCAGCACAAGCTCGCGTATGGAACTGTAGAAGGTAGAGATGGCGTCGAGTATGGAACAGTGAGCGGACACCTTCTGCTCTGCGCTGATGTCATTTCTTGGACATTGCGAATAGCTAATGCTGCCAGATACATCCCTCTTCCCGAGATGCACCGCATTGGTTATTCCCCCGAGTCGTGGTAGGGCCTGTACCAGGGGTTCCCTGAGCAAGTGCCGGTATTTATTGCCTACCAGGGAAGAGATCATGACGGACCACGGGTTGTCACATATGGCGGGGTTAGTTTTCTTCTCCAGATGGCCCAGTAGTCGCCCCCCTTCCATTGTTGTGGCTACTCCAGTCTAAGGCAAACTTTGATCACGACGGGGTGATACATCTTGGCCATCTGCGGTGCGTACGTTTTAGTCGGGCCCCTGGGATCCCGTCGATGCTGGCTGCCGTGGGTTTGGCCGACGTACACACCCTTGGCCATCCGCCAGCACAGGTAGGAACGCATCCGTATCCTGGATGTCGTGAGTGATGTCGTTGGGGAGTGAGGTCACCTGCTGCTGATAGCAGGCCGTGTCTTCCACGGGGACAGCGATTCCAATCATCTCTTGGGCGAAATGCCCAGACCACCGTCTGGTAGCCTCTTGTTGGTCAGCGGCAAGGTTTCCATCTTCGAACTAAACAACTGGGCAAGGCACGCGTATCGCAATTTTTGAAAGGCAGCATCATCGGCATTCCTTCACCATGGGCTGGCCATATCTGTAGCAAGTTGTTCATAAGATGTCCTGAGTGTTGGAGTGAATTGATTAAACTAGTAGTTTGAAAGAGCAGAACAGTTCTCGATGCATGAGCGCGTGCGCCACGTATTGATTGAGAAGCTGTCAGCATTCTGCACATGTGTCCATGGCTGTCCTTCTCGTGTCATAAGTGGGAGAGAGTACTGTATGATACCTAAGTGTGTTGGAGAGCCAGTCGGGAACATGTTGTGCAAGTAGGCGTGCCTTATCTCTATTGGTCTTACTTGGTCCTTGGAGCCCCCTGAGATCCCTTTCCCTGGCTAGCACTGAAAGCGTGACTGGACTGAGCGAGGTTGTGGAGCGCTCCACAACCCGCAGATCCTTCATAGGTGGGTATCTGTCGCTTGATGGATGCTGGTAGTCGTGGGAGGCGAGTGTTAGCCCCGACGGGGCCGTGGTAACCAATCTCCAACAGTACAGTACCATTCTAAGATATGCAGCCTTAGCGGAGTCTCCTGCTTTACGCACCTGTCGCAAGCAATGAACCCTTCTGGACATCTTGCCCGTCGCCGTGGACTAGACTGAGAAAACTTGCTCCATGTTGCCTGATGTAATGATCGCACTTCTGAGTGTGATCCGTCGCATGCGCCCTGAACTTTGGCTGCGTGTATTAATTCAGAATGTTGCTGAGGGTCCAAGCAGCACCTGGATCTTTGTAAAACATATGACCGTGCTGAATTTTGTATGGCCTGGCAGGAGGCGGCACACATGCTGGGCCGGGAGCGATAACTGTGCATCCGCCACCTTGTTGGTGAGGTGGTAGACCGTGAGGTCGATGTTGTGATCCACTCCTACGTCGGGCGCACGTACTCCCTGAGAACTCGTAACGTAGTCTTGTCGTTTGTAGGTGGTGTTATTTGTGGAAACCCATTTACCTGCGGAGCCCGTGGGGTCCTCGTAACAAGTGGAAGGAGCCCATTGTGCTGTGCGGTTCAGGAAGCACCTAGAGCAAGAGTCTAGTCAGTTTGATTGCTCATCATGTGCCGATCCCGTCGTGTGGTTAGTGTGGGAGCCCATGGTGGCCTCGGCATCCACGAGCGTAACCAAGTACTGCCCTTGTTTGCCATTATGAGGTTTCGAAGAGCCTGTCACCAATCTTTGATGATTTCAGGGGATCGTCGGAAGTGTGGAGCATGAGCGACACACACATGCACAGGGAAAGGGCTGGTGCTCGAATCGCAGCGACGAGCACATCTGGCGCTGCGTGCTGCGCAAAACAGTTTATGGGTTAGATCGTGAGCCCCGACTGATACTCCAAAGATGTGTTGACCCAATGTGAGCAACCGTCACTACCTGCTGCAGCGGCTGCATTGTTGAGTGGGAACTAGCAACAATTTGTGGATACCCCCGTGCGTTTGAGTCTCGTTTACATTGCCCCCCCCCCCCACCATGACACAAGGCTTGCGAGCAAATTGTCCAGAGAGCTTAATCATTCATCCCGTGGCGTCGTAGCCGACGGCTCGCACTGCTGAGTGTTGTCCTCTGTAGCTGCGCGGGTCCACGGTGAGAACATGAGCACTGGCGAACCATCCTCGAGCAGATATGCGGCGAGGTGCTTTGCAATGCTTAGCACCAGGGATGATGTCCAACTTGTCTTCCTGCGACTCCTGGGGCGGCGGTGGAGCGTATCCTGCTGCTGGCGGGCAGGCCGCGCGCTGTGCGTATGGCAGGAACTCTAGCCACAGCCAGGGACGATCCGCATTGAAAATAACAGTGCAAGCGTGTCAACACACTCGCTCAATGTATGTGCAGTGTGTCCAAGCACGGGCACTCACATAAGGCTGATAACCCGCGCGCGCATAATGTGCATGCGCCCATCTAGCACATATAGAGTAGTGTAGAGAGCCCCAGTATTGTAACCCCCGTGCGCCACATGTATGACCTCCATGTTGTCACCGAGGAGCCAGGGTGGGGTGTCTGGGAACGCAGTTGACTGCACAAACAATGCCACCGCTTGTATAGCGTCCCGAGTTTAGCACGAATTGTGGCGTTGGGTTCATCATGATCCCATCCGTCCAATGGACCTGCAAGGAATCCTACAAGAGCGCTGCCTGGCCTAAGTGTGACCGCGACAGCACTAATGTCCCATGCAGTCACTCTGCGGTCCACTCCTTCTCACTTGTAGCCGTCTGCGGTGGCGTTCATGTAAGTCTCATAATTGTCATATTGGTGTGTAGGGTCATATTCGTTTTGGTGTGCCTAGCTCTCTGATAGTAGCTGAATGCCAGAAGGGAGAGGACGACATGAGGTTCCTGGATAGCTGGATAGGCCATGGACGCCCCAAGAGATCTTTTGGTCGTCAGTACCAGTAGCGGAGAGATTGGAATGCCACGCGTGGGTCCTTGCATAAGAATATTTGGAGTGGGGGGGAGCTGGAGTGAGACCCTCAGCATCTTCTCGGGGGGGGGGCCTCAGCTGTTTGAACTGAATTCTGTGTTACCTGGCACCGCTGGGGCCCTTCATGCTGGGGCGAGTTCGTCGGCGAGGAAGCTGCTGGTTTGCACCCGATGCGGCTGGGGCTCCGCCCGCTGCCGCTGCTCCTTGGGAAGCGGCCCCCGAGGGCTGGTCCAGTGCGGCGGGGACGGAGGCTGGGCTGGAAAGCTTCACATCGTCGTCCTCTTCATCGTCCATGTCGTCCTGGGCGTAAATGCGTTGCCTTGCGGGAGGCAGCACGACGATCTGCTCGGCGGCGTAGTTCATCTTCTTGTTCCAGATTCCCGACGTGTTTCAACAACTCTTCTGCTTGGCCGATCTCGTCTGGTAAGTTCTCAAGTTGGTCAGCGCATGTCTCGAGGAGTGCCTGCGCCTCGTTAAAGGCAGCCTGTACATCAGCAAGCCCACGCCTGCAGCTGGCCACGAACCGCTGCTGCTTGGAGACCCGGACCTGAGAGGGCCTGGAGTACATGAACTGGAAGTGGACCACACTGAACTCTTCCTTCAGGCTCTCGATCTGCGTGCCCTCCAGGTTGAGGCCCTGTGAGCATCTGATCTGGCGTTCGAGGCCCTCGAGCGTGGAACTCAGGGCCTTTCGGTACTCTCCTAGTGCACGCGTCTCTGTGGGATGCTCCTTCCACCTGCGGTGTGCACGTGCGGCTTCTGTGGCAGAACAGGGAGCAGCTCAGCTTCATCTTGCTTGGCGGGCTGCATGGAGGGCGGACAGCTGGGGCGCCTCCTCGGTGGCTGACTACGTAGGCGACCACGTTGGCGGCGTCCTCCAGCATGTGGGTATTGAGTCTGCTGGGAGTCACTGGCGTCGGTGCCCTTCTTGGAACATGACGTGGACGACCAATCGTCCCCGTGCGCACAGGCCGGACACTCCCCCAGAGCTTTCTGCATGTACTGTTCAGTCTGCTCCTTCTGCTGCCATGGTTGACGAGGGGAACGCCCACTGCGAGGACCTCTCTGACGATCCATGTCGCTGTAGCTTCGGTGCTGCTCGATAGAGGCGGGCTGCGGACGCGACTCTGAGCAACTGGCGGGCTCTGGTCCCGTCGGAACGCTGGCGCCTGTGCCAGGCGGCCCCTGGCGCACGGCCTTGACCGCGCGTCGCCGTCCTGCCTATGGCGCGGCGCGGTCGGCACGTGTGGGGCTGTCCCGAGGCCCTCGATCCCGAACGGCGCTTGGAGGAGGGAGGAAGGAGGAGGGAGGGGGGCGGAGGGAGGAGGAGGAGCAGCAGGAGGAGGAGGAGGAGGAGGAGGAGGAGGAGGAGGAGGAGGAGGAGGAAAAGGATCAGGATCAGGATAAGACGACGACGGTGCCCTTGATCAGGATGATCAAACCTTGACGGTGACGGCGACGACGACCACGGCAGCGACGGCGACGCGACGCCGGCGACGCCGACGGCGGCGGCTGCGCCGGCGGCGTCCAGCGGCGGCCGCCCCGAGGAGGCGGACGCCGGCGCGGGCGCGGCGGGGGCGAGCGAGCCCGCCGGGTCCCCGCCCTGCGGGGGAGGGGGGCGGGGGCGAGGCGGGAGTCCGTTTTTAGCGGAGGCCTGCGGCAAGGCTGCCCGGCACGTGGGGGGGGGCGCCGTGGAGGGGCCTGGTCCTGGGGTCTGTCTCCGTTTTGGGCTTCCCGGGGCCCTCCACGGGCCCGGGGGCTGGCAGAAGTCCACTGCAGATGAAGGACTGGTCTCGTAGGAAGGCCCCAGGGTTCAGGTCCTGCTTCTTCCGTCGGGATCAGTTTCTTGGGGTGGCGAGGCCCGAAAAGAAGTTCGGACTTCACGCAATGCGACCGGGTGAGAGTCGGGAGGCCGTTTTCCCGAAATCTGCGACAAGTTTTCTTGGCATGGAGGGGGGGGAGGGGAAGGATCGGGGAAACGTAAGACTCGAATTTGCCAGCGCTCGGGTTCGCCGACGCTTTTTGACGGTTTTTGAGGGTCCAGTTTTCGTGGGATGCTTGCAGCGGGAGCTCGTGTCAAAGTTCAGACTCTGTCTCGTCATTTACAGCTCCGTCGGGTCAACACGAGTCCTCCAAACTCGAGTCGCACGCCTCCCCGAGGATGGGTGGGGCGTGGCGAGGCCCGGAACGAGATCTGGACCTCACCCAAGTCGGGACTCGCGTGCACGCCTTCTCGGTCCCGCTCCGTTTGGAAGGGCGGCGGAGGGGGGGACGGGGAGGGGTGAGGGGCACACATGCGAGCAGCATGCACACGCAGGGCGTCGGCACGGGCCATCGGCACTCGTAGCCGTTCCCGGTCATCGATTTTCGGCCGATGACGGACAGCGGGGTCCTCGGGCCCAACAACTTATTTTTACCGAAAGGAGTCCCGATGAGGATCCCCGGGATCCCTGGC